TACGTTGGTAATCAGTAAAGCCCCATTATCATGACGCGTGAGTCATAAGTAAAATGCCATGTGCTATACATTGTGCAGTGAATGGTTTATGGTTTATGTATATATAATAAAATTCCAAATATTGCTGAATATGTATTTTGTCTAAATCACTGGGGACATGAGTGACCATAAGCATGCGAGACCTGCTAAGAAGAAGCTGACCAATACGACCTAGTGATTGTGGCTACCGTTGTTCAGTTTATTGGGGAGATCGTGGTATTGCTAAGAGGGAGCACATAAAATGCTTTGCAATCAAATTTTCTTTTGTGTGTGGAATTATGAGTAGTTCAAATGTTAGTGTACCCTTTCATATTACCCAACCATTCGAAATGTGATTAGCTGCAATGTACTTTTTTACACGTTGCTTTCTAATCTTTCTGTTCCAACAAAGTGCTTCAAGTATCCTTCAGCTACGAATGTTTGCAAAATCGTGCACCTAATAACCAGTCCAGCTCAGATCTTAATCACCAGTAAAACACTAGAACATAACATTCGCAAAAAGTGGGTGCTGCTACAAATGATGCGTGCTGCTGGAAATCATTACTGGTAATGGAAACAATAGCTGGCTGCTGGAAATGCTGCATTAGCCTGTCATATAATCAATAAATCTCTATTCAAACATAATTCACCATAAACTACCCATTTTACAAGGTAAAAGTCATTGCTTCTTCACATAAATCAAAATTTGATGCTTTATCTAATGTCTATGAAAATTTCTAAATAGGGAGAAGACGTAAAATTAACATGTGTCCAAATTTCATGCAAGAATGAAACCAAGCAAATTTTCATTTCAATTATCAATGAACATAGTAAGAGCTCATCGGTGGACATGAACAAAAAAATAATAATAATAAAACTGCATCTAGAAAACTTCACCTGATCATTAGTCTTCATAATAACCGGGCTTCGTATAATAGAAACCTAAATCATTGAGTTGGTCCGTGCATCCTGTAAAATTCGTCAAATAATGGGTCACTAAGATCTATTGGAGTTGATTCGTCATTGTTCGACGGTGATGTCCTGCATAAACATCAAACAGAAGCACATAAGAACTTTACCTATTCAAATTTTAGGTCTTATTATAAATAGTGTTAACATCTTACGGTGTGTTCAAATTTCTTGGGCATTGTCTTCTATCATGACCAATGTGTCCACACTCCCGACAGTGTCTAATCCCTCGCTTCATTGCCTTTTCCTTTGCTCCCGTTACTCGTTTCGACCCTCCATTGCACCTTACTCTCTTAGGGTCTTTCATATATTGTGTTTGAGAGCTGGACCCTCCAACTTCGTTATTACTTGGTCCATCCTTCAACAACTTCAACTTCACCCGCAAACTTTTTAGAGTCTCTGACAGTAGCTCACATCCTTCTTCACACATTAATGCATCCTCAACCACATCTGAAGCAAGTCGGGACATTGTACTCCGCTTTATTAAAAGACCAGGATCTGCAGAGTCTTTAATTTCGTTGCCATTTGCATCTGACACCAATCCAAATTTCGCAGTTTTCTTCCACCTCTTCAAAATGTATTTATCGGGCATATATTCAATCTGGTCCCTTCTGAACAATGCTAGGATGTGCTTGCAAATAATTCCAACAAATTCAAATCTTTTGCAGCTACACGATGCGTGGTCAGAATCTTTGACATATACGACTTCTGCCACTCTTGTTTCCCAATTTTTCCTTTCGCTCACATTAAAGACAACTTTAGAAGCATCCTCTGTTTTCAGCTCTAGGAAACATGCTGTACTTTGTATTAGTTCTTGCTCAAACTTTTGAAACATTGTCCTTGTGTACAAGGTAGCCATTTGTTTGTTCATTGGCATCGGTAGAATACATTGAACCACTTCAAATGCATCTACGTGATCAGCAACTAACTCTTTTTGACATTGATGAGAAAGTGCCCTCTCAAATCTTATTATGAAATCCATCAACGAATTT